ATTTTATTATTATATTCTTGAATATAACATTTTAACTAGCATTCTCTATAATTAGAAGTTGTTACTTTTCATAAATAAATAAATAAATAAATAAATAAAACGTATCACTTATGCCAGAATTCGTGAAGTAAAGAATTTTAGGGATTTCTAAATTCTAGATTATCCCCAGATATTGACAGGATGAAAGTGTTGATAGTCAATAAATTTTATGTACAGTCAGTCACTTATATTAAATTTTGTAATTTTTTTCTTGTGCAAGTCAATAAGAATGTTGTTGAGTGCATTCAAAAAGAACTATATATATTAAGACATACCAATGGGAGTTTTTAAAGTTACCTGCTCAAAAAATTTTTAATTTTTAGCAAGTTAGATTATGGATAACATTTTATTGTAATCATCAGATAATAGTCTCAGAGGCATGATTTTACTTGTTTTTCTTTTTGGAATTTATTTTAATTGTTTAAGAAATGTTTATTCTAACTGTGCGTTATCTGGATAAAAGCTAAAAATTAGTCTAAAAATGTTTCTAGTAGACTCAAATAAACATGACAAGGGATCTTAGACCATCAAAATATATCTTATAAATACATAAAACAGTAAATCAAATATATATGTAAAAAAGAACCTATAATTTTTAAAGGAAAGTTTTTATTAACGGTTTTAAATATCTGTGTTATTTGTAAGTGTACCAAATTTATTTACTAAGTCATAAAATGATAATGTTGGCCTTCTGATTATATTTGTTAGGGAATGGCTTGTGGTAATCAGTAGCAAAATCTGTGAGATTCTTTTGTTTTTAAATGGCATGATACATTTGTAGATAAAAATGAAATTTTTAACTTTCTGTTTTTCATGGCAAAATTATTTTCATAAGGTCTTCTGTAACTTTAATTGTATAGCTTCATTCACACTCTAGAAATGATAACATTTATTTAGTGTCCTAGACACATTTTCACAAGTCTTTTTAATTTAGAAATAACTTTATTAGTTGTTGATATATATTTGTCCGGATACCTGGAAAAAACTGTTGAAAAGCTATAGGCTTATCAAGCCAAAGACACAGGCCTGTCAAGCCAGTAGTGCCCCCATTATCCACAGGGGATACATTCAAGGCCCCCTAGCAGATGCCTAAAACTGGACATAAAGTTTAATTTGTACATTAGGCACAGTAAGAGATTAACAACAATAATAACATAGAACAATTGTGACTGTATACTGTAATAAAAATTATGTGAAAGCAGTCACTCATTTCAGGGGATTTTTTGCTGAAGTCTCTGTACAGGCTCAATGCTTTCTGGCACAACACATTGCCGTCAGTTAGAACTCATTTTCTTTTCCTGTCATCTGCCCACAAATTTAGTGCCTTTTTTATCTTAACCTAAGCACTTATCGAGTACTACGGCCATAACTTGCAATTTGAGAGGTGCAATAGCAAAACTAGCACAATTTTTTTCTTCACAATTTCAAGGGAAACAAAATTTATTCTTATCACAGGTGTTAGCAACCTCAGCATATGATTTTTCCCTCTGCTTATTAGGTCAAGCACTTTGACCTTTTTACTTAAAGGGAACACTTTATAGCTTAGCTTTGGCATATATGAATTACCAGGATCATTACCCCTGTCCTGTGCTTGGAGTCTGGCATTAAGTAAAAGGAGAGTTACCTGAACACAGCACTGCAGTACTGTGACAGTCGATCCAATAACAACATGGCTATGACGTGACTAACATAATACAGACGGTGTATCCAGAATAGATAAAGGGATGGTTCACATCCCAAGTGGGACTTAGTGGGGTGGTGCAAGATTTCATCATCTATTCAGAATGGTGCACAATTTAAAACTTATAAATTGTTTATTTCTGGAATTTTCCATTTAATATTTTGGAGTGCAGTTGACCATGGGTAACTGAAACCAAAGGAAGGACTTATATTGCAGAAATTTTGTCTGATAAATTTTATTTGTTGAGAAAAAAATGAAAGACAAAATATATAAACACAGCTCAAACAATGTAGAGGTTAGGAGCACCAACCCCTGTGCAGCTGAAAATCTGTGTATTACTTTTGACTCTGAGAATACTTTACTAGTAGCCTACTGTTGACCAGAAGTCTAACCTCTAACACAGCAGTTAATTAACACATATTTTGTGTATATGTATAATATACTGTATTCTTACAATAAAGTAAGATAAAGAAAAAATGTTAAGAAAATCTTAAGGAAATTACAGTTACAGTATGTATTGAAAAAATCCATGTGTAAGTGGACCTGTGCGGTTCACCTCTGTGTTGTTCAAGGGTCAACTATAATTTGGAATGGTTTGGGGGGCCTGTCTCATTTAGGGGGCTTCGAATGACCAGAATTTTTATTTTCACCTCTGAAGAAGAATGCATTATTCTAACTAAATACTTCTTAGTCATTTTTCAGGATAAAGTATTTTCTAATGGTTTCTGATGCAAATTTTTTACTTTCATATATGCCTGGTTGGATACAAGTTGGTACATTTTGTTTAAGATCATATCAGCACTGGTGTCAATACTCATCTATTTGTTCATTGATAAGTGTTGCTTAATTCTGATCTATGACAAGAACTTTTCCAAGAAAGTCAATAATTTTTCTACTGATTACCAATTTTTTATAAAAATCAAAATCCTCAACATATAATTATGATATGTTATTTTTCCAAATAAATAGATTGTCAATCTTTACTCAATGGATACTCTCATATTTGGTTGTTCCTGGACACTTATGCTAACTTCTCTTAAAGTGAAAATATGTTCTCCCATGATTTAAGACCTGCTTTGTATATTTTAAAATAAATTTTTATAGTATACTGACCACAAATATTTTCCTTTGAAGAAAGGGGAAAAATTACCACTTGGACAGATTGTGATTTTCTTTAGCCATCTTAAATTAAGATCATTAACACTTTCTTTAAGCTCTGAATATCCCCTTCCCAGTCCTGTACAGATGCAAAACCCTTGTCCTGGGGTTTCAGTGATAGGTCTCTTCTCTGAGGCCACTTTCTACTCCTATTCCTTAATTTGGATGGAGGCAGGGCATATAAATTCTTCATGCTGACTAGGGTAGGAGGTTCACCCAGCAGGAATTAGAGATCTATCAGGACTGTGGGGGTAGCCCCTCACCTTTTGGATATCTTCCCAGACACAGATTTCTGGTGATTTTAGGAATTTGCCAAAAATCTTTAGGAGTTACAGAGAGGAGCATTCAGGTGAATTGAATGTTCTTAGGCTTTTTACTTGGAAATTGTACAGGGCTGAACCTATGTTTCTTTATAGAGAAGCTTGGTTAAACTGCTTTATTGCTAGCCTGATGATGTCCCTTCTAATCTTTAGAAGGACATTTACTCCTTAAGTGCTAGGAGAATAGTAATTGACTAGATTTCCTAAAAGAACTCATCTACCACCCAAATCAATAGATTTTTTCATTTTTTTCCAAATTGTTTTAAAGATTTTATTTATTTATTTTTAGAGAGAGGGGAAGGAAAGGAGAAAGAGAGGGAGAGAAACATCAATGTATGGTTGCCTCTTGTACACCCCCCACTGGGGACCTGGCCTGCAACCCAGGCATGTGCCCTGACTGGGAATCAAACTAGGGACCCTTTGGTTCTCAGGCCACTGCTCAATCCACTAAGCTGCACCAGCCAGGGCAGTTTTTTGAGTTTTGTTAAGTTTGTGAGGGTGGGTTCTTATGTATAAAAGAGAGAGCTATATGTTTATATATAATATGCTTTTCACCTTTTTTATATCTAGTACATAAGTTTTGTTTGCTGTAAATGTGTAAACTGAAGTAAGGTCAGTTTTAACACTGGAAAGTTAGTACTTTTTTCTGTTTTGTGGGGGGGATTTTTTTAATAGTTTTTATTTTTTTATTACAATTGACATATTATATTAGTTTCAGGCTTACAACCCAGTGATGAGACATTTGCATAACTTGCGAAGTTATCACCCCAATAAAGCAGTACCTATCTAACACTACACAAAGTCATTACAATATTATTGACTGTTATTCCCTATGCTGTAGTCTACATGTCCATGACTATTTTGTAACTACCAATTTGTAGTTCTTCATCCCTTCACTTTTTTTAGCCATTCCCCAAATCCCCTCCCTTCTGGCAACCCTCAAAGAGTTACCATATCTATGATTCCTTTTCTGTTCTTGTTCATTTCTTTTATTTTTTAGATCCCACATATAACTGAAATCATATGTCATTTCTCTCTCTCTGACTTCATTCAGCACAGCACCCTCTAGGTCCATCATGTTGTTGCAGATGGCAAGATTTCATTCTTTTTCATGGCTGAGTCATACTCTGTTCTATATATGCGCCACTTCTTCTTTATCCATTCGTCTCTTCATGGACACTTAGGTTGCTTCCATATCTTGGCTATTGGAAATAATGCTGAAATGAACATCTGGATGTATATGTCTTTGTGATTGTGTTTTGGGTTTCTTCGAATAAATACCCAGAAATGAAATTGCTGGGTCCTTGTTTATCTCTTGTTATATATAGCCTTTGTTTTAAAGTCTACTTTATCTAGTATAAGTATTGCCACCCTACCTTTTTTTGTTTTGCTTTGTTTCCATTTTCATGAAATATCTTTTTTCATCCCTTTAATTTCAGTCCATGTTTGTCTTATGATCTGAAGTGAGTCTCTTGTACACAGCATACATAAGGGTCTTCATCTTGTTATCCATTTAGCCATCATATGTCTTGATTGAAGCATGAAAAGTTGATATATTTTTAATGTGGTGCTGAACTTTATCTGCTTATTTTACATATTTTCGATGTATTGTCATTGTTCACCAATGTCAACAAACCTTAGTACAGGTATACTGATCTATAAAATGGAATGGTTTTCACATTTGCCTTATTTCTTTGAATTGCTGTAAATGTAGCTGTTTTCTTTTAATTCTGAAAAGAACAATATGAAACTGAAGCAATAGTTCTAATAGAAGATATCTTCAAACCTTGCTTATTTTCCAGCTACTACAATTTGAGTGATGTGAGCCATGACTCTGTGAACAAGTTTCTGTCTCACCTGATTGAGAAGTCTCTGGTTGAATTGGAACGTTCCTATTGTATTGAAATTGGAGAGGTATGACTCTGTCACATACATTTCAATTGAAAAGTTTGCCTAGCTCTTTAACAATAGGACTTTTGCTTCTAGTGATGACCAAAAGTTTAACAAAATTGTTGCAATAACAATTGCTGTATGAATGATTAATTTTATAAACGCATGCACTTCTATTGTAATTTTTCTCTATGTCACTTTATCTTTCATTTGAAATAGGATAATCGGAGCATTGAACCTCTGACATATGGCCGAATTGCCTCTTATTATTATCTGAAGCACCAAACAGTTAAAATGTTCAAGGAGCGCTTGAAACCTGAATGCAGTACCGAAGAACTGCTTTCAATTCTAAGTGTGAGTTTCATGGTGTTACTGCATTTTTTTTAATATAAAGGGATTGTATTTTATATATTCCATACTTTCTCTTAATTTTAGTCTTAAATTGTTGCCATCCAGCTCCTCTTGAAATTTGGCAGAAACTAGTTATGAAGTCTTTTCATCTGTCAAACAAGATCACTAAAGCAACATATCTAAACCAGGTTCCCTATGGATAAAGTGGCCATGCAATTTATCATCCAAACTGGGATCTTCTGAGAATGGAATGGGGCCCTATTAATATTTAAGCTGGGATAATAGGTATAAACTGGGCTATCCTCAGAAGCTAGGTGATCACCCTAGCTTCAATATAATAATCTTTCTGTATTATAATTGAAAGCCCTTCTTATTACTTCTTTAGGGTAATTCTTCTTGAATCCATGGTGTTACTGAAATTTCTTTACATAAGGATCCACATGATTAAGTTCTCTTAGAATTAATACCAGAAAAGCTGTTTAACTCCTCACTTCCCCCCTTCCAGAAAAAAAAACTGAAGTTAAAGTTACTATTAGAAGTAACTTTTTCATCTTCCTTTCTGCATATTATATATGCCTTATTTATTTATTTTTGTCTTTGTTGAGTTTAAGTGTAATCATTTACCATATAACTTTATTAGCACATTAGTCAGCATATACCCATATTTTGCCATGTATCATGCACTCCTGTGTATAATGTGCACCCATGTTTTTGGCCCAAACTTTGAGGGGAAAAACTTCAATTTTAATTTTTAAATTCAATTTTGTATGTATTTATATTCAGATTTTTGTATTATAAAGGAATTTTAGCATTTATTTTGAGGATATTATGGCATAACAAATTTTATGAAATAATCACAAAACACAAGAACAGATACAAGATACAAGAAATTTTATGTACTGGTAACAGATTAGTGTTGCCCATATATATAATGCACATCCTTATTTTTTTCCCTCAGAAATTTGAGCAAAACAGTGTGCATTATACACAGCAAAATACAGTATGTTACAAGCAAATACTGTATATTATTCTTACCCCTAAGGTGTGTTAGTGCTTTTTAAAAAAGTTTAGGACCACTGATTAGTTTTTATGGTCCTTATTAATTCACTGATTGTGAGTTGGTTTACTTACTTAATAGCTTTTTTGTGCCTTTCCTATTGCTTTATCATTCTTAATAGGCTTTAACACCCCATTAACAGTTTTTCACTTTTTCATTGTTTACCCTTTGAGAAGTTAGTGTATAAATTTTGTGTAACATGAGGCTATGTATAGCTGTAGTGGGTCCAAAAATATTTGCTAATGAACTGATGAGTGGAATTCAAAGGATTAATCAGTTTTCTGTTGTTTGTGCTATAGAAAAGAGTAGAGGACTAAAGTAGAAGCAGCTATTAAAAATGTGTTTTTTGTAAAATTAAAAATTCATTTCTGAAGTAAGAATGTTAAAAAAGTGAAGAATTTTTTAGATTCTAAGAATGATGTTGCAACATTGTTTATAATTTCCCAGTCAGAGATTCATAAAAACAGGATTTACCTGAGATAAAGACAGTAAAATAATGGTTAATCAGTTTGGGAAAGCATCTTAAACTAGTATCTGTGAGATTTAAGAATATGATTTCCTTTCATACTTACCTACTTTGATATATTTATTTAATCCAGTATTTAAAAGTATTTGTCTACCTTGGGAACTCATATATTATAACTAACACCTTCAAGTACTTTTCACATGCCAGGCACTATTCTAGCACTTTTCCACTGTGTGGGTTGTTAACTACTGTACTATGCTGCCTCTTATGCCACACACACACACACACACACACACACACACACACACACACAATGAGGAAGAGAGGATGCTGAGGTGGAAGGAACAAAGTATGTCATGTTGAGACTGAATGCACATTGTTTGTAAAGGAGGTTGGTAAAACCACATGCCCATTACATTCTGTGTTCTCAACCCCACTAAAATAGTCAAAAAGTGTATACAAAGGCAATTAAGTCATTATTTTCCTCAGTCTTCTCAATGAAAAGGCAATGATCAGAACAAGAGGTCTGTCCACATCTTTTCAGCGGCCTGTTTCTTTCCAACATTGCACTGCCTAAAACCAGTTAGCTGATCTCATGGTATACTTTTATTCACAGAAGAATAAACTCTTCTGTGAATAACTAAACAAAACAAATCATCTGCAAGTATACGTAAGATAAACTCAATAGTATATTTATACAAGTATCATTCACTGGTACCCCCTTCATAATTTCCACAGCAACAATGATACAGTCTCTTTATCCTGTGGTGTGTAGTCCAAGAAACTCTGAACTTCTTATAGTGTCTGAGCCTGTAATATCTTAGAGAGAATTGCTTGAATGAGGATACTGGGACATGGAACTGTGGGACTCACATTGACAAGGAGATCTACAGGTGCCACTGTTTTGTTAATTTCTTGTCTAGGAATTAATCTTTGTTCAAAAGAGAACATATGAATACTAACAGAGAAACATTCAATAATAAAGTAAGATTGTATTTGAAGTAATTACAGTGCAACTTCTGAAATCATTTTTTCAATGAGAAGTTTTTTAATGTTTTCTACGTCCACACCCATGATTTCTAAATGGGTCACATAGCCTCATTATCTTCTCTACTCTCATCTCCAAAAAGTACTAATCTCCTTGTGGTTTTGAAACTAGGAGGAGGAAGCTGGAGATGACAGGAGCTTAGAGAACAGAATGATAAGCACAACACAGAACAAAGAAAAGCAGTGAGGGTAGCATTAGTGTCCCAAAGGCCTCGTTCCATTACCTTGGTTTTGTTTTATAATGCTTCGTTATGTCACATTATGTTTTTGAATAATTCAATATTATAACTCACCCACTTCATGTCTCCTTTTACTAAGATACAACATTGATGCTTCTAAAGTCATTTTTAAACTTCTTTTAAATTATTAATTAAAAGCACTTTAAGTATTCCTAAGAAGACCACAACTGAAAAGCTTCTATTTTCTTGGGTATTGCTTTGAACTTACTGTAACATTTTTAACAATTTAATGTTCTTACCATTTCTTAGGGTACATATTGTATTTAACTTCTGAGTTTTGTGAGGGAGGTTATATTAATGACAGTGTAGAAATTATGATGTTGAATGTTTTGTTAGGTCTCTTGAATATGCCGCAGTGTGATTATTGTTGACACGGAGAAAAATAATCCAGATCATAACCATAGAATGGAAGGAGTATTAAAACATTGAGTCGCACTTCTAACAAGCATTTAAAAATACATAGCCTATTATTTGTCTTCAATTGAAATAAAAACATAGTTTCAAATGATGATCTCTAGGTTTAATATATTTGTAACTGATAATCAGTATGGTTTTTTTAGAGAAGTATGGCTTCTCTTTAGAGAAGATATATGCATACATTTAGAATTTCATATTTCACCATAGATTTGTTTTTCCTTTATTTAAATGAATTGGAATTTATCTGACCATTTTGTATATTCCTATTAACTTTTCTAAAATAAGAATTAGAATTTTTTGAGCAGGACTATAATTTGATTGCCATATTAATATTTACCAGAAAAGATACTTTCTTTCAAAAATAAGAGAAAATACTTAATCAGATCGATTATTTCATGATATGCTTCCTTTCACAGTGTTTTTGAAACTGTAGACTTCCTCTCACACTGGGTTTTCTAGCAGAAGGTTGTCAGGTCTGATTAAAAATTCCATACATTAGTTACATTTATACCCTATCTTCTGAATTCTACTCTCTTTGTTCTTCTATCATTTGGATGGTTGGGGTTGCCCTTGAAGTTTGCAGAATTCTATTGACAGTATCACCCTTTTAACAAAAGGATGGGGGCAACAGGAAATTTCTGAGTTTAAAGATGAAAACTAAACTCTTCCAAATAGTAGTGAGCCTGTGCTAAATGAAGTTGTCTTAATATCTCAAGCAGATAGAGAACATGTATAAATTAGATGTTTTATTCTCAATATGTTACTCTACATTTATCTATATTAAATTTTATCACTTACATTTCTACTCACACATTATTATTGATTTACTCAAAAAATACTTATTTTGTGCCTACAATGTATGAGGCTCTTGTCTCTCTCTGGGGGCCAGAGATAGGAGATAGAACAGAGAACATTATTGACAAACTGTGTGTGTGTGTGTGTGTCTGTACACAGGTATGGGCCATGGTAATAAACTGTAAAACACACTGGGGTGTTGTTACTAACAGAGGTCACCAGCTCAGTCTGATGGTCTAAGAATGATAGCAGAATGTTGCCCATCATAAGAACCAGTCTCTGAAATAAAACAGATAATAGTATTCTGTCCTTCATATTAATTTTCCCTATGCAGGAGATTTGCTGTATACGTATCTCCTGGCCCCACATCAAAGAGCATCATAGAGACGTTTGAGCGAGTCCAACTGAGCTACTCAAATGATAGAAGATATGTGAATAGGGCATTTCAGTCTGGAAAGCCAAAGGCTTTGAGTCGATGAAACTGAAATTCCAGTCATGAGCTGTATGTAGTAGGGAAGGCCCTCTTTAGATCTTGAGCAGGGTACCTTTTTCAATTAGTAGGAAGTTCCATCCGATCCTGCAAGTAATAAACTCAGAGAATTTATTACTTCAATTGATGGATATAATATAGGCCAAAAATGTATAGATTCAAAAAGGGCTGGAATGAATTTATTAATGATAAAACTACTAAAGAACTGAAAAAGGAGATGGAATTGTGCCTGTCATGTTTGGTGTGATGGATGATGACCATTCCGTTACAGATCAGGGGAGGCAAGGACGATGACTAGACCTTTGTGGCATGTTTTTTTTCTCTCTTGGCCCACCAGACTTGGAATATTTTTATCCTTCAGAATATTGGCCTGGTTGGGGGGAGGTTTCTTTTCTTTAGATGTGACAGTTTGCTATACTTATATGAGCTTATTTCCATTGATTATTACTTTGTTAGACAGGGTGTGGCAAAAGTAGGTTTAAGTTGTTTATA